CCCCCAAAAACACCCCCGCCCAAACCGGCCCCAGCCACAACAGGCACAACCACTAGACAGGAAACGAGTTCTGAACCACCACTCAGTGAACCTATAACATCAACCACAACAGCGCCAGCCACAACAGGCACAACCACTGGGCAGAAAACCAGTTCCGGACCACCACCCAGCAAGACTACAACAGCAGCCACAACAACACCGACAACAACTGGCACAACTGCTGGACACGAAATGAGCTCCGTACCAGAACCCAAACCGACCACAACGGCAGCCACAACAACGCCGGCCACAACAGCGCCAGCCACAACAGGCACAACCACTAGACAGGAAACGAGTTCTGAACCACCACTCAGTGAACCTATAACATCAACCACAACAGCGCCAGCCACAACAGGCACAAACACTGGGCAGAAAACCAGTTCCGAACCACCACCCAGCAAGACTACAACAGCAGCCACAACAACGCCGACCACAGTGGTCACAGGACAGACTGTTACCACTGCTTTTACACCAAAAGAAGAACCTACTACAACACCTTCTGTAGTTACAAATGTAGTGCATACATCCAGGGTGACAGGAAAACAGGTGGTTCTTAATACAGAACCACCCAGCACCACTACAACATCAGCCACAACAACAACAACCACAACAGGCACAACCACTAGACAGGAAACTAGTTCCACACCACCAACCAGTGCACCTACAAGAGCGCCAGCCACAACAACGCCGACCACAACAGCGCCAGCCACAACAGGCACAACCACTAGACAGGAAACGAGTTCTGAACCACCACTCAGTGAACCTACAACATCAGCCACAACAACAACAACCACAACAGGCACAACCACTAGACAGGAAACTAGTTCCACACCACCAACCAGTGCACCTACAAGAGCGCCAGCCACAACAACGCCGACCACAACAGCGCCAGCCACAACAGGCACAACCACTAGACAGGAAACGAGTTCTGAACCACCACTCAGTGAACCTACAACATCAGCCACAACAACAACAACCACAACAGGCACAACCACTAGACAGGAAACTAGTTCCACACCACCAACCAGTGCACCTACAAGAGCGCCAGCCACAACAACGCCGACCACAACAGCGCCAGCCACAACAGGCACAACCACTAGACAGGAAACGAGTTCTGAACCACCACTCAGTGAACCTACAACATCAGCCACAACAACAACAACCACAACAGGCACAACCACTAGACAGGAAACTAGTTCCACACCACCAACCAGTGCACCTACAAGAGCGCCAGCCACAACAACGCCGACCACAACAGGCACAACTGCTGGACACGAAATGAGCTCCGTACCAGAACCCAAATCGACCACAACGGCAGCCACAACAACGCCGGCCACAACAGCGCCAGCCCCAACAGGCAGCACCACTACAACAGCAGCCACAACAACACCGACAACAACTGGCACAACCACTAAAATAGAACCTAGTTCTGGACCACCACCCAGCAAGACTACAACAGCAGCCACAACAACACCGACAACAACTGGCACAACCACTAAAATAGAACCTAGTTCTGGACCACCACCCAGCAAGACTACAACAGCAGCCACAACAACACCGACAACAACTGGCACAACCACTAAAATAGAACCTAGTTCTGGACCACCACCCAGCAAGACTACAACATTCACAACAACACCGGCCACAACTGGACAACAATCTTCAGTTACCCCGACTTCAGTACTATTAACAACTTCATGTTTCTGCCACTACATGGATCAAGAACTCAGTCCTGGTAAGCATTGTGCTAATATCATCACTGTTTCATATTATTATCATTAACATTTTGCTCATAGTTTCAGTGACTTTTCAATGCCGTCAGCCACATATGATCACAACAGGATGCCTAAAATAAACAGTGTTTATACTTTGCATTTGTCCTGTTGCCTTGAAGTCTATCATCATTTTTCACATTCTACGATGCCCCTCATTCATTTTGGATTTTGGAGAAGACTTTGAAAGTCGAACCTTTCCTAAATTTACATTCATGCAAACATGCATGTCAGCGAATGCAATTGGCTTTGTTCAGTTCATGGTAGAGGTTAATCCTTCTTATCCATGCAGAAGTGACTCTTACTTTTTGTGTAAAGGTACAGTAAGTGACCACACATATCAAGCTTGGTCATTACCACATTACCTGCTCCTGCTGTGGTCAAACATGCTGTGGTATAGATCCACACATATATTTGGGGTTCGGGTACTCCTTTTGAAATCATAAATATGCTCAGTATTATATTCAAAATTTCAAAATATATTCACAATCTTAACCATGGTTTTCTTTTTTTTTTTTTTGATGCCTTTAGTCATTTTGATCTAACTGCCTTTGTTCTTTCCATATAGGAAGCATCATATACAATCAAACTGATGGAGATGGGTGGTGTTTTACTGCATACTGCAATTTAACATGTGGTGTTGAGAAGTTTGTTAAACCGTGTCACTCTACTGCTCCACCAACACTTTCCACCCAATACCATACCACCACTACAACCCCTGGTACTTCAACAAAAAGTCACTCTTCAATAGCCAGTACAGTTAGCTCTACACTGGCGCCTCTGAAAGACTGTTTATATCTCAGTCCACCTCGAAAGGTATTTAAATTCAGTTATATAATCATGTAGTTTAAAATGAACAGACTGGCTTAAAATTAATTATGTCCTTACCGTATGTACTGAAAAATCTGTCAATACTGATTTTGCCCAAATTAGCTTCCAGGGTGTCTATTCTAAACAGCCTTTGATTCCTTTAGATAATGTAAAATAGATTGTAATTCCCATTCTGCCTGCTCACATTGATCTTGTGAGTTCTCAATAAATATACCAACAGTGATGTACAGCAACACTCAATAAATTCAACACACCATTGTTGATTCATTCAAAATTCCTTCAATACTGCATATTATAATGGCTGCTTTGCTGATTTTCACACCTTCCCTGCAAAAAATCTACAACTGTGTGTTGATGAAACAGATATTTTGTCCCAGTTTGTAATATGTTGAAACAACGGTCAGTTGCTGTTTCATTAAATTTCATTAAATTTATTAGGGTCCCATTTATCTTAATCACTGATGCTTTTCTTCCTGGGGTCCAATCACACACCACTTTAAAGCTACAATGCACAAGTTTTGGAGTTTTATCTAGTGATGTGTGCATGAGACTGGAAAGTAAATCATTCTGCCTTTTCCCACCCCCCATATCTATATCGATATATCAGTTATAAATGTATAGGATATAAAATTTATATGTGTCACTGGGGGCTGTGAGATATTTCTTTTTCTGTTAATGGATTTCTAAAAGTACAATTTTGCAATTTGCAGAATGGGGAGACCTGGAAGGGAAGCGACTGCAGCACAGAAACATGTAGTGATGCTAAAGTAATCTCATCATACGTATCATGTCCACCAGTGACCACTCCCGTATGTGAAAATAGGCAACCACCGGTTAGAGTCTATGATGACTCAGGCTGCTGTTTCCATTATGAGTGCAAATGTAGGTTCAAATAAAAGCTTTTTAAAATTTCACATTCAAGCAACATCTTAAAACTGTTATACAGTATACAGTTTTAGTTTAATGTAAAACTAAATGTAATCTCAATCTAATGTTTACAGGTGTTTGTCAGAGCTGGGGAGATCCTCATTTTGTAACATTTGATGGTCTTTATTACGACTACATGAAAAACTGCACATATGTTCTGGTTCAAGAAATCATTCCCAAATACAAATTTAAGGTTATAGTAGACGATGAAAACTGTGATGCCAGTGGGACTGTGACCTGTGTGAAAGCCTTGAAAATTTTCTACAAAACGTATGAAATCACTCTTACACAGATAAGAGAGCCGAAACTCATAAACAAGGTAAATATAACCCAACATACTGTATGAACCTATTTTAATTATTCTATGTGAATATATTTAAAAGATATATAACATTTAAATGCTTGTTTTATGTTTGGTGAATGTGAAACAACTTGAGCAACTGTTTAGACTCTAAGATATTGCATTTTTTTTAGATGACGGTGAATGGCAAAGAAATATTCTCATCCTACTCTAATAGTGACTTTACCATCACGAGCACAGTAATTCAAATGCTTGTGAAAATCCCAGCAATCAATGCAACTGTGCTATACAAAGGGCTTTCAATCAGCATTGAATTACCATTTTCCCTTTTCCACGGCAACACGGAGGGACAGTGTGGTAAGCTGATAATCAATTTGCTGTTACAATATTCATGTTGAAAAAGGCTGCATGTTACCTTTATCAGCTGAAAACAGTGCTATATGCATTATGAATGTGCACATTCATGTACCAAATGAGGCTTCACATGGATTGTAATATGTTCATATTTATTTCAACAAGGTATCTGTGACAATGACCAGAAGAATGACTGCAGTATACCGGGTAGCTCGGTAAGCACCTCATGCGATGAAATGGCAGCACACTGGCGTATACCTGATCCAGCAAAGCCATACTGTGATGTGAAACCACAGCCTACACCAACAACACCAAAAACACCATCTCCAACAGCACCACCCTGCATACCTGCTATCTGTGACATTATGTTGAGCAAGTAAGAATTTACCAGATAAAATGAACACAATATGCTTGGTCATTCTTCAGTATCACTAGTAGTAACAGCTTACTTTCTTTTGATTTGTTCAATAAGAGTGTTTGAGGACTGCCACAAAGTACTCCCGCCAGATAACTACTATAAAGCCTGTACATTTGATGTGTGCCACACAAATACCACCATGGGTTGTTCCAGTCTGGAGGCATACGCTCTGTTATGTGCTCAACAATCTATCTGTGTACCCTGGAGGACTGCTACGAACGGACAATGTGGTAGGAGGGGTTTTTAGTGGGAAGTAGACATTGTTATGTGCAGATGGCCTGTTCTCATCCTTTTGATACTGAAGTCCACCTTCTGTTATTGTAGAACATAACTGCCCATCAAATACCGTCTACAAAGCTTGTGGACCAGCTGTTATACCAACTTGCAATGGAAGGTAATCACTTGGTTTTGTTTATGCCATATCATAAATAACATCAGCAGCTTCTAATTTATTTAATAAGTGTAAGTGTCTACAGCCAAACTAGGGGCTCTGGGCAGCTGTTCCTTAAGTATAGCTAAATGCAAACATCAACATGCTAACATGCTAAAACAATGACAATGCTTACATTGCTTCACCTTCTTTAGTGTATTTGCATTTAATAATTAACTTATTGCTAAACACCAAAGTACGGCCATGACTGATATAAATGTAATTAGTTTTCCAGATATTTGGTCATAAGCCAAAGTATTGAGCCAGTTTACTTTTTATGTAATGATTACTAAATTGATTCTAGTTGATAATGAAGGGGCCTTGAATGTCTACACCAAATATCATGACAGTCTACCTTGTAATTATTGAGACATTTCATTTAAAACCACAAATGTTAAACTTATAATTGCACCCAAAAAAAAGGTCAGGGGATCATCAAAGTAATTAGGATTCATTCTCTTTGGAATATAAATATACATGTAAATGTACAAATATGTCTGTACAAAATTTCATGGCAATAAATCAAATGGTTGTTGAGATATTTAAGTCTGGACCAAAGTGGAGGACTGAGTGATGCCACTACCCCTAGAGCCACACTGCTTCCATGCAGTGTTCACATTATTTTATTTCTGAAGTCATCTCTTTTTTTATCATTAATTGTGTTACTATTTAGATACAATCAAATGTACGGACAACAGTGCCAGGTAACAACAACTGACGCCACCAACAATTGTCTACTCCTGGAGGGGTGTTACTGCCCAGAGGATCAGATTATGTTCAGTGCAGCCTCGCAAGTCTGTGTCTCCGCCTGTAAGAGTATTTTCTGTGTTAAAGAAAATCTACTTTTTGAGACTTAATGAATGTACAGGTAAACTGATTGATTGTGTTTTTGTTTAAGGTTGCACTGGGCCTGATGGCGATCCTAAAGAGGTAAACACAACAATACATGATTAATTTTTATTATTTACAGAGTATTTGTTGCTGTTATGACAATAATTCTTTTCTGTCGTTCAAACAGTATGGTGATGCTTGGCAGAGTGGTTGTCAGCAGTGTCTTTGTGATCGTAGCACACGGAGTGTTCAGTGTGAGCCTCTCATATGTCCTATACCAGACCCAGTTTCCTGTACTGGGGAAGGTCAGGTGGTGGTGACAAGCACAGTGGACTGCTGCCCGACACAGTCATGTGGTGAGTGAGTTAAGATACCATACCTACATCTGCTGAGATAATGTTTTTACAAATACAGGTATAATAAAAATTACAGTAGTAAAAGCAAAAGACCAGTTTGATGGGAAGTGTAGGGGCCAATGTTGTTGGAGGTTGACTCATAATAGAGACTTTAAAAAGTATATCTTGGCCTGTGCTGCCAGAAGTTGTTTTTTTTATCTCTGTCTCTCAGAAGGCTCCAGCTTTACAGCAGAGAAATATTAAATTACTCTGGCTCTTGATTACATCCTGACTTTGAAGTTCTATATGTATGGGAGTTGTGTTGAATAAGCAGAGGATTATAGACACACATCTGTAAAATGTGCAGATTTGAATATATTCCCATCAATCTGTAAGAAAGAATTTTCTAATGAGAATAAAAAAATTCTCATCTTAAAAAAAACACTACAAAGCAAATGTGCCTCCATAAAAGATCATGATAAAGGCATGGTGTGTCAGCATTTACCTGTATCAGATGTGTAAAAAGAATTGTTATTTTTGGAACTTGTTAGTGTTGTTGTATATATCTGAGATTACTGAATTAGACAGTATTTACATAGTGTGTGGCTAAAAGTAGCAGCATCGTCTGTTGTTTTGCTGTTAAAGGATTTTTTTTTTTAATTAAAAGACCCATTTTTATTTTATGTAACAAATAATCACCTGTTGTCCATTCATTGAATAACCACAGTAATTTCAGTTAGTGTATCTAACATTTTTTCTTTGTTTCATTTAATATTAAACTTACAAACCCTGGAAATGTGTCATTTTTCAACCAACAGGATGTGATGTGAGCCTCTGTCCCCTGACAACGAAGTGTGATCTGGGATTTGAGCTTATTTTTAAAATGTCAAATGATAGCTGCTGCCTCGTTACAGCCTGTGGTAAGCTCTGCTTAAGGATTCTTAAAAATTTAGTGTGTGAAAGACTTATGAACTAAACTAAACAAGAGCCTTTGCTGTGATCATAACTGTTTCCATTCTTTTTTTATGTAGTATCCAAAGGTGTCTGTGTCTTTAATAATACTGAGTACGAGGTAAGGAAAAATATACTGTATTTTAAATGCACTGTATTAAATGTATACTTGCCTGTTAAAGTGAAAGTTTTAGAATAAAGCAAAATTATTTAAATCTCTTTATAATATCTTTATAAAATAAATATTATCTTCAGAATAATATCTGAATGTATTTCACAACTCTATTGTCATCCTGTATTTTCGGAGTGACATTTGTTTTCTGGTCTTTATATGAGATTGGTTGAATTGTTTTTTATTGTTTACAGCCCGGTATGCAGTTCTCCCGAAACCTATGTGAGACATGTACATGCACAGAGGATCAGGATTCTACCATGTTGAACAAATATGACTGTAATGTAGAGACTTGTCAAGGGATTCTTTGTGAGCCGGTACGTTTGCAAGGAGTATTGTGGCTTTTAATCATTTGAAGCCAGTAATGCTGTTTCTTGCACAAAAATATGTAACATGGCAACACATGCTGCTAGGTACTACTTGTGTAACAGACTACACTGATTTGTGGATTTTTTTTCTTCAAAATAGGGCTATCAATTACAAAAGACACCTGATGAATGCTGTGCATGTGTACAGACAAGCTGCATTTTCGACAACCCAGATGGTAATACAGTAGTTATCGGGGTAAGTGGAGTGACCTTCAAAATCAGTGTCTTAAATTTTATAATGGGTTATGTAGTCAGAACTGTTTATGTTCTCTAATCAACCTCTTCTTCATTTCTGACAGCCTTCTGAGTCTTGGTCACCACCAAACGACACCTGTGTTCAATACGATTGTCGGAAAGTGAATAACACATTTATAGTCAGTGGAAGCCGAAGAGTATGTCCTGATTTTGACCCAAACAACTGTGTTCCTGTGAGTATAATGCAGTGCTGAAAGGGGCATAATTTTAATTTTTCTAGCAGCTAAATCTCTTTGTTAATAACTCTAAACTGATTCTGGTTCATTTTACAGTACCTTTTGCTTACAAACTTTATCTTAAACAGTTTGAACACACAAATTTGCTTGTGTCAGATTTGAATGACCAGAAATGGGGTTTTGTTTTTCTATTTCTTTATTTTTGTTTTACAGTGATAGCATTTACCAACCCTTTCTGAAATTAGCCTTTTGACTCACGCTAGTCAAAATAACCCATATTAAAACACTTGGGGGTTTTAAATGTACTTGAATGCTATAAAAAGCCAAAATAAGCAATGCAAGTCAAATATATAAAATGAATATATCTGTAAATGGGCAAGAATGATAATAAAATAGACTGCCTTGAATAAAAGCAAGTGGATTATGCACCTATCTTTGTTGGTGAACTGTATCTTTGCAGACTTTTCACTCCATATTGTCTCTATTACAGGGAACTGAACAAACTGATGCAAATGGTTGTTGCAAATCTTGTAAGTATGAGATCAAAAAAATCTAATTTGTCAGTAGCATGTGTCAGTAGTGACAAAATCACAGTGTGCCCATGTTAAATTAATCAGACCGACACTTAAAGCCTCGTTTGACAAACTTGTCTACATTTAAAAACTATTATGCTTTTTGTGCATAAGCAACAGCCTGACCAGGATAAAGTGATAACAGTTCAAAGGCTAAACCTTGTAATACCTTTCCACATATTTAATGTTTTATTTTATTATCCCACTGAAATGATAATGCGCCTGCAGTTGTTTGCTACATGTGATTTTTGCAGAAAGAAAAACTATTTTTGTGTCATTCACAGGTACTCCTCGTTCCACCTGTCATATGACGAAGAACGTCACCTATCTGCAGAAAGACAACTGCAAGTCAGTTGTGCCTGTGGAACTCACAGCCTGTGAGGGATCCTGTGGAGCATCCTCATCAATGTGAGATTTAGTAGAAGTTACCTGAGAGGTTTTGTGCATAAACCACTTATTAATCATGCAACAATCACCTGTTCATTTTTCACATGAAGAGCACATTTTAAGATAAATGTTTGCTTACACTGAGCATCAGGTGAGTGACACTGAGCTTGTTTGTATTTCTTTACAGGTACTCTTTCGAGAAGCTACCAGCAGTCCAAAGAAAGTGGACATGGTCTGCTCTGATGGCAGCAAGACAAATTACTCCTACATTACAGTCGACAAATGTGGTTGCCAAACTGCTGAATGTACTGAAGACTAATATACGATTTAATATTCCAAACTAAGCTTTGCTTAAGAGAAAATCTGACTCAAACATATATAAACCATTATTTTACAAAAACTAGTAGAGAATCAAGACTCAGTATGTGAAGACAACCAACAACACATCTCCATTAGCTTTTGGCATACAAATGAATATACTAAAGCAAATTACTTCAGTCTTTAAACAGCAGAAATGTTGTGGCCTGAAATTTTTTTCGACCAACAAGAGCATTAATATGATCTGTTAAACCCTTATGTTTTCCATCAGTAATTCTAAATAGTGATCAATTGTTTCCTACAACACTAGACACTGGACCTTTGGACTTTCAGAATCCCTGTCACCACTTTTATTTGTCAGGGAGGCAGGTCAGATATTGCCTCATGATAGTAGCACATAGTGGGGTCATGGTGTCTCTAATAGTTTTTGAAGAGGTAGTTAATTTTGCAATCTTTAGGATGTGGTGTTTTCTCTTTATTCTACTTTGTATGATTTTACAGATAAAAGACAGGATTTTGATCAGATAAACTGTCATTGTTATACTTTACTTCACATTATTTTCTCTTGCATCAAAGGGGTCTAGATGTAGCTTAATATCCATGCCGCTTCTGCCAAACATCTGTGTGAAACTAAGAATTTAAATAAAACTCTCAAGGATATTCATGATTGTGTCCTTGTTTTTTTTCCCATTGTATTACTTATGAAAATGTATCCTGATTGCATTTGATGCACCTTTGGTTTTGGGAAGATTTTTTCCATTAAATATTATTTCATTTACCTATTGCACCTTGATTTACAATTGATTGATTGATTGATTGATTGATTCTTTCAAACATGCAGAACAGAACAAATGACAGCAACACACACATAATTACACAAAGCCAACCAATGCTAATCCAAAATCAGTTTGCTTACACCTATTACATGTTTGAATGGAGTAGGAAGAAGTCAGACTTATCCAGTCCTACCCCATAACATCATATTATACAAAAATTTCATGCATCATTGGCTGCAAGCAGTATCTACATAGATAAAACAGAGTGTTTCCTTAATGCCTTCTCGAATAAATCTTATTCTTGCATATATCTTGTATAACACATACATTTATATTTATATTTAAACTCCTCAATTCTAGTACTGTTCTTCATGTCCACACTTAAATTATTCCATAATTTGACCCCACTTATAGAAATACAAAATCTTTTTTTGGTAGTACGTATAGCATGAACTTTTAGATTTAACTGACCCCTTAAGTTATATCCCCCTTCCCTTTCACCAAAAAACTTTTGGATTCCACCAGGTAATAAGTCGTTCCTGGCTTTATACATAAACACAGCAGTCTTATTTTCCACCAAATCAAAAAATTTCAACAATTTAGACTGTATGAAAACTACATTTGTGTGATCCCTATA